GCGCGCTCCCGCGCCGCCGCGCGCTCCCGGCGCCACTCGGCCACGCGCGCCGGCATCGCCGCCAGGCTGCGGGCCAGCCGCTCCTCCCTGCCGGGGCCACGGGCCGTGGGGACACCGGGGACACCGGGGACACCGGGGACAGCCCCGGGACAGCCCCAAACCCCTCCCGATTCTCCCGGTACCGGCGGCCCAGCGGTCCCGGTGCTCCCAGGCCTGTCCCGGTCCCATTCCCGGTGCTCCCGATCCCATCCCCGGTTTATCCCGGTCCCATTCCCAGTTTGTCCCAGCCCCATTCCCGGTGTTCCAAGTCCTGTCCCGGTCCCATTCCCGGTATTCCCAGTCCTGCCCATCCCTGTCCCGGTGCTCCCGGTCCCATTCCCAGTTTATCCCAGTTCCATTCCCGATTTATCCTGGTCCCATTCCCAGTTTATCCCAGTTCCATTCCCGGTTTATCCCGGTCCCGCTCCCGGCGCTCCCAGCCCCATTCCCGGTGTCCCGGTTTATCCCGGTCCCATTCCCGGTGTTCCCAGTCCTGCCTATCCTTGTCCCAGCGCTCCCGGTCCCATTCCCAGTTTATCCCAGTTCCATTCCCGGTTTATCCCGGTCCCATTCCCAGTTTATCCCGGTCGCATTCCCAGTTTATCCCGGTCCCATTCCCGGTGTTCCCGGTCCCATCCCCGGTTTATCCCGGTCCCGCTCCCGGCCCCACCTCTCCTTCCTCCGCCGCTCCTCCTCCCGCTCCCGCTGATCCAGCACGGCCTCCACCTCCCGGAGCGGCGGGTCCCACTCGCGCTCCTCCGCCTCCGCCTCCCGCAGCTGCTCCGGGCTGGGCCAGAGCCGCCACACCGGGACCCCCGCGGCCTCCCCGAGCCGCCCGAAGCCCCGGTTTATCCCGGTCCCATTCCCAGTTTGTCCCAGCCCCATTCCCGGTGTTCCAAGTCCTGCCCATCCCTGTCCCGGTGCTCCCGGTCCCATTCCCAGTTTATCCCAGTTCCATTCCCGGTTTATCCCGGTCCCATTCCCAGTTTGTCCCAGCCCCATTCCCGGTGTTCCAAGTCCTGCCCATCCCTGTCCCGGTGCTCCCGGTCCCATTCCCAGTTTATCCCAGTTCCATTCCCGGTTTATCCCGGTCCCATTCCCAGTTTGTCCCAGCCCCATTCCCGGTGTTCCAAGTCCTGCCCATCCCTGTCCCGGTGCTCCCGGTCCCATTCCCAGTTTATCCCAGTTCCATTCCCGGTTTATCCCGGTCCCATTCCCAGTTTGTCCCAGCCCCATTCCCGGTGTTCCAAGTCCTGCCCATCCCTGTCCCGGTGCTCCCGGTCCCATTCCCAGTTTATCCCAGTTCCATTCCCGGTTTATCCCGGTCCCATTCCCAGTTTGTCCCAGCCCCATTCCCGGTGTTCCAAGTCCTGCCCATCCCTGTCCCGGTGCTCCCGGTCCCATTCCCAGTTTATCCCAGTTCCATTCCCGGTTTATCCCGGTCCCATTCCCAGTTTGTCCCAGCCCCATTCCCGGTGTTCCAAGTCCTGCCCATCCCTGTCCCGGTGCTCCCGGTCCCATTCCCAGTTTATCCCAGTTCCATTCCCGGTTTATCCCGGTCCCATTCCCAGTTTGTCCCAGCCCCATTCCCGGTGTTCCAAGTCCTGCCCATCCCTGTCCCGGTGCTCCCGGTCCCATTCCCAGTTTATCCCAGTTCCATTCCCGGTTTATCCCGGTCCCATTCCCAGTTTGTCCCAGCCCCATTCCCGGTGTTCCAAGTCCTGCCCATCCCTGTCCCGGTGCTCCCGGTCCCATTCCCAGTTTATCCCAGTTCCATTCCCGGTTTATCCCGGTCCCATTCCCAGTTTGTCCCAGCCCCATTCCCGGTGTTCCAAGTCCTGCCCATCCCTGTCCCGGTGCTCCCGGTCCCATTCCCAGTTTATCCCAGTTCCATTCCCGGTTTATCCCGCTCCCGGTGCTCCCAGTTCGCCCCAGTCTCATTCCCGGTGCTCCCGGTCCCATTCCCGGTTTATCCCGGTCCCATTCCCGGTGCTCCCAGTTCGCCCCGGTGCTCCCGGTCCCATTCCCAGTTTATCCCAGTTCCATTCCCGATTTATCCTGGTCCCATTCCCAGTTTATCCCAGTTCCATTCCCGGTTTATCCCGGTCCCGCTCCCGGCGCTCCCAGCCCCATTCCCGGTGTCCCGGTTTATCCCGGTCCCATTCCCGGTGTTCCCAGTCCTGCCTATCCTTGTCCCAGCGCTCCCGGTCCCATTCCCAGTTTATCCCAGTTCCATTCCCGGTTTATCCCGGTCCCATTCCCAGTTTATCCCGGTCCATTCCCGGTGTCCCGGTTTATCCCGGTCCCATTCCCGGTGTTCCCAGTCCTGCCTATCCTTGTCCCAGCGCTCCCGGTCCCATTCCCAGTTTATCCCAGTTCCATTCCCGGTTTATCCCGGTCCCATTCCCAGTTTATCCCGGTCGCATTCCCAGTTTATCCCGGTCCCATTCCCGGTGTTCCCGGTCCCATCCCCGGTTTATCCCGGTCCCGCTCCCGGCCCCACCTCTCCTTCCTCCGCCGCTCCTCCTCCCGCTCCCGCTGATCCAGCACGGCCTCCACCTCCCGGAGCGGCGGGTCCCACTCGCGCTCCTCCGCCTCCGCCTCCCGCAGCTGCTCCGGGCTGGGCCAGAGCCGCCACACCGGGACCCCCGCGGCCTCCCCGAGCCGCCCGAAGCGCCGCGCGGCCGCCCGCAGCTCTCCGGGCTNCGGCGCGGCCCCGCCCCCCCCAGCCCCAATCCCCCCCCCCCGTGTCCCCTCCCGGCTGGCAGGTGACGCTCCGCGCTGTCGCCGCCTGTCGCGACATGCCCCCCCCTCCCGCCCCGCCCCCGCTCCATCTGCGGCCGGTGACAGCGACACTTCTGGCACGGGGGTCCCCGAGGGGCTGCTGGGGACAGGGGGGGGACACTGGGGGGGTGGGGCTGGGGTCCCCTCCGCCACCCCGTCCCCGGTGTCCCCTCCCGGCGCCTTTTGTCCCCCCGCGCGTCCCCTCCCTGCAGGGTGGCACTGCCACCCCCCCGGCCCCCGGGGACACCCCCGGGGACACCCCCGGGTCCCCTCGCCGTGTCCCCGAGGCCACCCCGCGGTGGCGGCTCCGGCAGCGAAGGGGTGACAGCGGCGGTGCCAGCGCTGGCACCGGGCGGTGACAGATGGCGGAGGGACGCGGCCGCAGCCGGAATGGCAGATGAGGCTCCGCCGTCACCGCCGCTGCCACCGCCGCTGGCACTGTCACCGTCACTGTCACCGCCAGTGCCACCGCCGTGCCAGTGCCGTGACACTGTCACCATCAGTGCCACCGCCGTGCCAGTGCCGTGGCATTGTCACTGTCACTGTCACCGCCGCTGCCACCGCCGTGGCACTGTCACCGTCACTGTCACCGCCAGTGCCACCGCCGTGCCAGTGCCGTGACACTGTCACCGTCAGTGCCACCACTGTGTCGGTGCCATGGCATTGTCACTGCCACCGCCGTGTCACCGCCGCTGGCACTGTCACCGTCAGTGCCACCACTGTGTTAGTGCCACCACCGTGTCACTGCCGTGACACTGTTACTGTCACTGTCACCGCCAGTGCCACCACCGTGTCACTGCCACCACCGTGTCACTGCCATGACACTGTCACCGCCAGTGCCACCACCGTGTCACTGCCGTGGAACTGTCACTGTTAGTGCCACCACCGTGTCATTGCCATGGCACTGTCACTGTCACTGTCACCGCCAGTGCCACCACCGTGCCAGTGCCATGACACTGTCACCGTCACTGTCACCGTCAGTGCCACCGCCGTGTCACTGCCGTGGCACTGTCACCGTCAGTGTCACCACCATGTCACCACCAGTGTCACCCGCACCACCGTGGCACTGCTATGGCACTGTCACTGTCACCGTCAGTGCCACCACTGTGTCAGTGCCACCGCCGTGTCACTGCCACCACCGTGTGAGTGCCAGTGTCACCCGCACCACCGTGGCACTGTCCCCACCACTGCCACCAGCGTGTCACCGCCAGTGTCCCCTCCATGTCCCCCCGTGTCCCCCCGTGTCCCCTCCTGTCCCCCCCGTGTCCCCCCGT